AGGCTGCCCAGGATCCTGCAAGCAGCGATTGGACAGAAAAACAGCCATCACAGGTTGTTGCAGATCTCTGCTCCGAGGGGCAGCACCCGGGCGGCAAATTCATGAACACATGCGTGAAGTGCCTTTCCTAACCTCCATCAAGACCAACAAACTTCAACAGCCACGTCTTGATGAAATGCTGAGCTTTTTCAAGCACCTGCATACGTGAATAGGAATAAACACCTCAAAATGAGTTTTAGGTACTGCAGTATACCATATATGCAAGCTAAAACAATGAAAAACAATGAAAAACAATGACAATGACAGCCGACGTTATATTGAACTATCCAGATCAAATGCCATGTGACCATTATGAAAAGAAATGAACAAATACTTCAATAGTCATTGTGGAAAGAAGTCTGCCACAGACCAAAATATTAAAATAGGTTTCAAAGAAAGTTGATTAAAACAAGCTTGTTTCACCAATTTACAAATAAACACAAGGTATTTCATGATTTCTATACATGAGTTACAGGATTGCAAGCCAAGTAAACTAGCTTGCAGCTATAGCCTATGGCTGCATAAATTTATAAAAGGACAACAAGACACACCACCACACGAACTTTCAACTCTGGATTATTTTTGGGCACACATCAGCTCTTACTGCCCAAGAGAATGACTGACCACCAGATAGAAAACACAAGATGAAAGAATTTATGTTAACCAGATTTCAGCACTGACACTTGCGGATTATTGCAAGGCTCCTGCAGAATTTCAAAAATGGTATCTGCAAATGCTATCAAAAAAAGCTGATGTGGTTTCTTATGTTGGTTGTTTCGCAATAAATAAACCTCCTAAACTTCACGGGCTTTTTGAGACGTGCATTGATCCGAAGTCTTGGTTTCATAGGAGACCAGGACTGGATAGTTGGCTCACCAAAAAAGAGCACTTTGCAGTGAGTGGCGACACAACTCAGCCATTCGCGCCCAGACGACCGGCTGTAGGGAGAGCACGCACTTGCGGTGCTGCCGTGCTTCATTTTGGAACAAACAGCTCTATAAAACCATTGCGCCTGTAATACTGCGCTGTGGTTTAAATAAAACTGCCTGAAGGCTACTCTCACATAAATAGCACTTGAAAACGAAGAGAAGCTCTGCAAAGCACGACCATTCTTCAATTTGCAGACTTTGCTTAAACTGTACTACGCCTTCATCCACAGTCATATTACGTACTGTATCACGTCATGGGCGAATACCTATCCATCTCATATATTTCCACTCTAACGTCTCCAAAACCAAGCCATTCGCATCCTAACATTCAGTTCACCGATCTCCTGTGCATCCCCACTTTTTCAGCAACATATAGTACTAACAGTGTGTAATTTATTCAAATATAAATTGGGGTTCTTGTATTTGGGTCTTAACGATACCATAACAGTCAACGTTTTAGAGAAATTTCAATTGTTAAACTCTAATCCTACCAGGTTTGCCTCAAACAACAACTTTTTACTACCACATGCACGCACTAACTACGGCAAGCATACTACCATATTTGCAGCTATCCAATTTTTGAATTCGGTACCACTAAGCACTAAACAATTGTCATTAGCTGCTTTTAAAAAAAGAACTTAAACATCTCATCTCGCAATTATAACTCATCTTCATTTTTATATCGGCGTTTTCTTACATTTACAGCTGTTACTGTGTGCGTTATTTTCACCTTTATTACCCATGCACACTGGAGTTCTTTTAATAGCTGTATATCATTAATTAACGTCATTTCGTTCCCGATTCTACTGGTATTTTTATTGTATATTTCGTTGTTTTCATAGTTATGCACAATTACTGAACATTGTTTTGTTACCATTTTTACTGGCATGTTTTATTGCATGTTTGCGTTGTTTTTGTTACTATCAATAATTACTTAATCGCTTTTTTGTTGCCATTTTGTTGTACTTATCAACATGTCATTTTCTAACAGGAGGTCCCCTTTCAGCCTTGTGCTATGGGACCTCCTTCTGTATATACACCCCAATGCGTGTATATTTTTCGCGACAAATAAAGATTTGATTTGATTTGATTTGAAAGTGCTTCTATGCATGTGGCATTGAAGAGACAGTGTTGTGCAGTGATGGCAACTCCCTCATGATCATTTTCTACTTAGTAATTTTTGCTATGGTAATACCGACTTATATGCTCGTGTGGCGACGATACTGCACTGTGCACTTCTGTAGTAAAAAACGAATAAGTAGTGGCTGCGGCATCAATTTTTTTTCTGGCGGCATATGTACAACCTGTCTGCGGTATGTATGCACGTGGACGTTGACCAAGAAAACCAATGTGACAGCATGGCACGGGTGGTGTCGCTGTCTTATGCTTGATAGCGCGGGATGGATTTCCGACCACAATGGCTGCATTAAGATGGTGACGAAATATAAAAAGAACACCCGTGAACCAAAAGATATGCTCGCATTGGAGAACCCCAAGCGGTCACAATCTAGGTACGCACCCTACAGCGTACCTCAAATGATATCTTGTTGGCACACTAAAGCCTAGCAATGATCAACGTTGAACACACATGTTCATTTTAGGCCAATACAGGCAAGCGGAAAAAGCTTAAACTGTGTGTTAGGTGAACTAAACAACAAGCAAACATTGAAGACATTTGATACTTCTCTAGTAACGCATAAATTCCGCTCTTTTGTTCGTAACAAGAACCAAGTATTTCGCACAAATTAAGTTAAACAGAGGCACTTCGGCATTGAGTTTTCACTGCGAGAGTATGTTTTATAACAGTTCAGCGGCGTATGACCGTGGCCCTGCACAAGTGTTGTGAGCAACGCAGCTTTCCTTTACACGCAACTGTTTACAAAAAAATGAAAAGAAGACTACCTCCCTATCATTTCGTTAGCTACACGATGTGGCATCAGGTAGAGCTTGGTGCTGATGGTCAAATGGGTGGACGTATTGAAACTTTGTTAGTCTTGAAGTTCACTACTCAACGCTCAGCAGCCCAGATAAAAAAGTATACAGTGCTGTTTCATGCATATAATGCTCGTTTCATTTCCGGCAAAACACCATTTAAACTCGAATGCTTGGCCCTGGTTTCCACGGGTGGCTGTCTTCACTACCAAATAAATATACCAGACACAAGCCATCCGGTTTGAAAATGAGCCCGACAGCACTAGAAAGGAAAGCGAAAGCAGAATTTTGCTCGGCTGACCGCTTGGATGCAACGCTGCCTCCTCTTTCTACGTTCTACCTTTCCACTATACGTCCTCTTTTTTACATACTGTTTCACTTGAATACGCAGCAGTACCACACGCACCCTTTGATTTTTGGTTGTTCTTGAGAAAAATATATTTTCTTAGTGCCCGGGGAACGTTACAGAAGGAAGATATAGCATTGATTGATATTTGGGATGTAGCGTCCCAAAACCACTAATGATTATGAGAGACGCCGTAGTGGAGAGCTCCGGAAATATAGACCAGCTGCGGTTCTTTAACATGCACCTAAATCTGAGCACATGGCCCTACACCATTTCCGCCTCCATGCGCCAAACCACCCTATTCCCGTCTTAAAATGACAACTTGAGTGAAAAGATGTCTGTATCCATTATTCGACAGGATGACAGGTATCTTTTCAGTTAAGTTGTTATTTTAAGATTAGAATAAGGTGGTATGGCACAAGCGCCATCATTTGTTTTTTCTTCTGTGTGTGATCTCCTCACCCTCTTGGCTGTATAGATTTTCCAGCCATCTGTGCAATAAAGTTAGTTGTAAGTGTGCGCTCTGTCCTATCTCTCTGCTATATCTTCCCTCTAAAACATTTTCTGTGCACTAAGAAAGTAAATTTCTCTCAAAAAATGCAATACCAACCAGCCCAAGCAGCCACTCCTTTGGTTTTGTTACGGCGATGCGCGCACGCACCATCTCTACCAGCCGCCACTCTCGTCGGCGGGAGCAGCTGAGAAGAGTGGCTCTCACCGCCAGGGTGGCCGTGGAAAGTCCAGCGCTGGTTCTCTATACTAGCAACGTCTAGAGTTCGTTGGAGAGGGTTTCGGAGAAAAAAACGTTCGAGAAGGATAACTCCAACATAGCAAATTTTGAACGTCCTTATACCTGGGATGAGCGACAGAAGACAAACCTGATAGGCACATCATCAGCACTAAGGGGAAGACCTTAAAGAACTGGAGATGGCCGGTCTATGAAGGCGCAATTTTGTACTCAATTGAATCCACTTGGTAAACAAGGTATCTTTGAGCTAAAACATTTTGATTGATGAGGTATGTTATTCATTTATTTATTTATTTTTACATACTGCAGCCCAAATTGGGCTATCGCAGGAGTGGGTTTGCTATACATCAGCACACACAAAAATACAACTCTTAACAAACAGGACTAGAACTCTTATCAAGAGTTGTAATTTCTTGCATAGAAGTATTGATTCGGAATTTGTTTGTTTGTTGCCTTTGTTTCCCATGAGCTATACATTTGTGCAAATGACGTTTTTTTACATATATTTATTAGTAGCATATACAAAAGAGCAAATAGGCTGCAAAAACGAAAATCCAAGCTTTATTTCTAGAAGAAAACGAGTGTCCACATATGTGGACAGTAGGAACACCAGTTACACAAGGTGAAACTGCTCGAAGCAGTTTGTGGGCCCATCTACCTCAATGCACAGGTAGATTTTGCATTTCTTGCACTGCATACGGGTTTTCCGTTTGCACTGTGACATTTTGCAGCGTTGAGCGTTTGGTTGGGCGATTTTCACAGGTATGTGATTTACACAGTCGTACCGCACTGCACCAGGAATATCCGAGGCTCGATTGGAGAGTGAGGTGGAGCTGACGTCTCTTTCTTGTTCAACATCCTCCGCTGCCTGCACAGCTTTCATCAAGCCCAATGCAATCTGCAGCTTGAAGTGAGGCAGTTGCATCACTGATCCCTTTGTGGCACGATACAATAGCCAACTGTTTACGACGGCTAGATTGAGCAGGTGAAAAATGATTCTCTTATATCATTTTTTCGTCTTCAGGTCGTTCCTGTAGAAGGCAAGCAGCTGGTCTGCCCTGTCTACACCACCCATACTTTGGTTGTAGACTTTCACAAGGCTGGGTCTCTGGACATCAACGAAGGATTTCTTCGTTCGGTCATACCTCCGACAAGACCCCACAGGGTTCACACTGTGCTTGTTTGATCCAATCGTTACAGTTCGGTTGTCATACCACTGACAGATCACATTTCCACTGTCTTTTTCGTGGCGGAAATCAAATGAGCCTCGCCCATTTGTTTTGAGCTCCTTTTCATTTTGCAGGGGACAGCGACCAGTCCTCCCGCTTCTGAGAGTTGAAGTGCATCCCAGATCACGCTGTTTCATTTCAGCAAGGAGTTCAGCAGACGCGAAGAAGTTGTCGCAGAACACTTCTTTTCCTTGGCAGCCTTCTGTCAGACGCACCACTATCTTTCCACTTTCGCCAAATGCATGATGAAGGTCCGCCGGCTCAGAGACAAGGTTGTGACCATACAGCTCGAACCAGTACACGTAACCTGACCTACCAGCTAGCGTCCATACTTTGTAGCCCCATTTTCTTGGTTTTTTCTGCATGTAGACTTTCAGGCTGTGCCTACCCTTGAAAGGAATCATCATTTCGTCCACCGCCAAACATGGCTCCATTTCTGCGGCAGCCAAAAAGTTTCTGTTTAGGCGTGTGAGAACGGGGCGCACTCTGTACAAGCGGTCATACCCATCCTCTCCTTTCTTCTTTCGTCGTCGTTGTTTGCGGCGTGGAAAAGAGAAATGATTTCATCAAACCGGTTGCGAGACATACATTCTGCAACGTGGGTTTGACGCAGGAGTCGCGACTAATACATCCGCCTGAAAGGTAGGCACACAACTGACATGTACAGAACTATTTCTAGAAATTTCCGGATTTCATCCACTCTTACAGGCTTCACCTTCGTTTTGTTGTTCTGAACCCGGAACCGATTGGTCTCAAATGTTAGGTGCTCAACTAAACCATCATCTACGAGCTTCGAGAACATATGGAGGGGTGTTTTAGCCTCTTCCAGGGTAACCAGCGGCACAAGTTCACTCTCTGGAAAGCCTTCGTTGATAGGGACGTCTTTTTTCACCCAATGCCAAATCTTCTTCACCTTGTTTTTTACTGTGGACGATTGCTGCACTTCTAAGTCTTCATCGTCCGATGAGTCCTCTATGTAGTCGTCGATGGGGCCTTTGCTTGATGGCTCTGCTTCAACGCGTTCATCATCGGAGCTGTCCAAATCAGAACACTCGCTTCCACTGGGCCGCTCAAAAAGGATAGCTTGTATATCTTCATCGCTTAGCCCACGTCTGAAATAAAGTAGATAAAGTCTAAGTCGAACTTATGAATACCGTAGTTCACCCCATTACAGATAAAAGTTTGTTAGAGTCGCGATATAGCGAGGCGCACTCCAGTACCGTGCGGCGTTCTATCAACATTTCGCGCAACTCCCTGGGCCTGGCGTCCACACACGTGGACGCCGCCACGGCAACTCGCTTTACAAAAAATCTACCGCTTGTATTGCAACAAAACTTGGACATAAACAAGATACGCGCTTCCGTTTTCTGTTTATTACCAAATATTTCACAAATTCTTAGGAATTTAGAGGTAATATACCAAAAAAAGTAGAGGTACCCACCTTGCGGCGCGGCTAGAGGAGGACTCCATGTTCCTGTGTGCATTTGCTGCTGTTTCTTGACAGCTACCGCCATCTGGCGGTGTTTTTATGAAACGCCTGATTAGCGCGAACATTTGAACTCGATTTTGCGGTGAGGCGTTCGCTACAACAGCAAAAATTCACTGATATGTTTTGTCCACATATGTGGACGCTGGGATACAAAGCAATTCCCGAATCAATACATTCATGCAAGAAATCTTCTAAAGGCAATGATCTAGTTGACCCAGGCAATATATTCCATTTTCCTATAGTGTGCGGAAAAAAAGCTGAATTTAAATAGGTTAGTACCTGGATGGAAAGGTGTCAGGTTGAGTTTGTGGCTATTCCTTGTAGGTTTCAGTTTATCGGGAGACAGATAATTGTTAGTCGCTGCGTAGCGTGGGGTATTAACAAGAATATGCATCAACTTTAGACATTCGAGCTCGCGTCGCTCGGACAGAGTTTGCAGACCTAGCCTAGCAAGTTGAGAGGAGGTTGAGAAATTCCAGTCGTAACGGCGGAAAATGAAACGGATGGCTTTCTTCTGAACGGATTATATTGTGCTGATGTCCGATTTTTTATGAGGGTTGCAAACGGGGCACGCATATTCGAGGATGGAACGTATGAGCGATTTATACGTTAGCAACTTTGTTTCAAGTGGAGCATCTTTTAATGTACGATTTAGGTAGCCCAGTTTCTTTAAAGCTTTATTGCAAGAGTATTCGATATGTTTAGACCAAGACATATATGGTGTGAAATTGAGGCTTAGGTACTTATATTCGGACACACGTGACGGAGAGGAGCCATTGAAGGAGTAATCGAATAACGAAACGCAGCTGCGTTTACGGAAGGAAAGAACATTTGTTTTAGTAAAGTTTATGTTCATTTGCCATGGGTCACACCATCTGGAAAATTGTGCAAAACAATCAGTTGGTAAATTGTGTCATCATTGGTATTATTTACATTATATAGGACACAGTCATCAGCGTAAAGGCGGATTTTCGCAAATAATTGGGCAAATCATTTATGTAAATAAGAACAAAAGTGGTCCAAGGACTAAACTCTGGGAGACTCCGGATGAAACATTCACAACAGACGAGTTTGAGGAATTAAAAGAAACAAACTGAGAACGGTTGTTTAAAAAGCTAGCAATGCAGTCATCTACGGAATTATCATTAAGAACAGCGTGAAGTTTGTGCAGAAGTTTAGAATGTGTAACAGTGTCGAATTCTTTTGCAAAGTCGTAGAAAATAGCATCAATTTGGTACCCAGAGTCTAGAGCCTTCAAGATGTCGTGAAAAAGTCTACAAGCTGGGTTGTTGTACTAAAACCATGGCGAAAACCGTGCTGGGCTTTACTTAGGATATTATTTTTTTCAAAAAACACCATGATATGCTTAAAGAATATGTGTTCTAAAGGTTTAAATCATTCAGACGTTAATGAAATCGGGTGATAGCTTAATGGTGACTGCTTGCTGCCAGATTTATGCATAGGGAGAACTTTCACTGATTTCCAAGCAGAAGGAACAATTGAAGTGCGTAAGCACATTTGAAAAATTATAGTCAAGTAGCGGCTGGTCCACTCGCAATATCTAAGAAGAAAAATATTAGGAATGCTGTGAGGACCAAGACGTTTTTTATTTCCCAGGTGCAAAATTAGGTTCATAACACCGTCGAGATACACAAAAATGTCACTGATTGAGTTATTTGAATTATGGTGAAAGCCAGGGATGTCTAAGTTGTCAGTTGTGAATACTGATTGGAAGTATTCGTTGAACGCGTTAGAAATGGTTAAGGATTCACTGCAGGGGACGTTATTTATACAACTGTATTTGTGGCAGCTGAGGTTAAATACGCAGGATTGTACCAGCCACAGCAGATCACGTTCTCATAGTCCTGAGCGCCTGTTTGATACCCGTCGTATTAAGGCGATGGTCTGTTCGGTTTTTCGAGACAAAAAAGAAAAAGCGTGGTCAGCTCTTCTGTTCACTTCAACAAACAAGCCAAGTATGCGAGCACGCTCGATCTGAGGGACGGCAACGCCATTCACGTGCACAACAATCTAGAGTGGCGGCGTGATGCTACGCGCCCGGATTATAACAAGCTCGAACTTTTCGGGAGAATAGGTCAAGCTGAGCTGTCGTAGGTGTTAATGGAGCCGGCAGCCTAGTGTAGGTGATCCTGAATAGCCCTGTCTCAGCCTCGCGTCGTCAATATTGTTGTGTCGTCTGCGTGAATTGCATGGGTGACATTGGGGATCTGATCGAGCTGCTTTGGCAGTCTTGCGAAGGCAATATTAAACAAGATGGGGGACAGAACCGATCCCTGTCAAGCGCCGTGACCTGTAAGGCGAGTCTTGTCCGAACGGTGTGGCCCTATCTCAATGCTAGCTATCCTGTCACGCAGAAGGGAACGAATGTAATTATGCATGCGGCTGCCGCATTGAGATTCTGCTGGATTCTGTAGGATCAAGTCGTACGCCGCGTTATCAAGTCCTCATTTAAATCAAGGGCGAGGATGGCCCTTGTCTGAGCACGCGATGGAGGGCCCTGAAGCTCGTTCTTGAGTTCCAGAAGCACGTCCTGCGTAGAAATATGTGCCCAAAATCTAAACTGTGAGTGCGAAAATATTGACCGTCGCTAGAGGAAAAGCTGCAGACGCCGTAAAAGAACGTGTTCCCTTAACTTCCCAACGCATAAGCAAAGGAGTATCAGCCGCAGATTTTCTATGACTATGAGTTTGCCTGGTTTAGGTACTAAAGAAATATCAGTATGACATCATGCCTGTGGTAGTGTACCTTTATGCCAATAGCCACTGAAGAGGTTCAATAAATGGTTCAGATCTGAGTCACTGAGGTTACAAAGGGCAGAATATTGAATGTTGTCAGTATCTGCAGGCCTATTTAGACGGAGCTATTGATGAACAACGCGAACTTAATCAACCGTTACGTCCACGTCGAGTTCCTCGTTAGATTACACCTCGTGTGGGTAGTCAGATACTTTGGCATGGGACCGGTAGCGATTAAACGTCGTTAAAGTTCTTTGAAGAGGCCGGATGGATCGTTGCCAACCATATGTGTTAAGCGATGTAGTTGGTGGAAAGTTTGCGTTTTGATAGCGGATAGTTTTATAAGGGTGCGAAGTATTGACCATGTTTTCGCAGTGCCCAGAGTGCCTGAAAGAGGCTTGCAGAAACGCCGCCATTTGTTGCGGGTGAAGTGCTGCGCGTGTTCTTTTGCCTCCTGTGAGAGTTGGTCCGATACACCGTTGAAGCTTGCGATTGAAGCGTTAGTGCTTCCAATGCCGCGTGAGCCCTCTACGTGCCCCCCACAGATGCAGAAGGTGTGGGTCCACGTCCGGGTTTGCGGTTGTGGTAACAACAGTGCGAGTACACGCATCTAAATCATCAGAAAGAGGGACTAGTCATTTGTCATACTCCGGCCTTTCGGAAAGGTTTTGTCGGCACTATCTTAACTGCGCCCAGTCCGGGATAAGCACCTTCCGCTTGTGACAGCGTATATTGTGTAGTGTTAATATAGCGGCCACAATATAATGGTCATTGCCAAGATGTTCGTCGAGAGGACCATGTAATATTACTGGTCCTGTGTTTTTCGAAAAGGTGAGGTTGGGGTATGTGTCTCGTGAGACACTGTTCCCTACGTGAATAGGGTGTCTGGGATCTGTATGCAATGAGTATCGCAAGTTGCATATATCGTCCCAGAGCCTAGTTCCCCCCTCTGCTGATTTGCGGTAACCCCAGACTCTGTGCAGAGCGTTGAAATCTTCACACACAAAAATGGTGCGCCCAAGACGCTCAAAGTCAATTAGGAGTTGATGAAATGAATGTGTGCGTGAGCGGAGAAAACTATACACGGTTAGAATAGAGAAACTGCAATTTTTCTTTCCTGGGGGATTATTTCAAGGATTTAGTAGTAGTAGTAGTAGTAGTAGTAGTAGTATTTTTATTTACAGTAAGC